CACATGAGGCACGTTCAAGGTTGTAGCAGCTACATAGCTAATGATATGTTGCTAGCATAGCTGCTACATACAGGGGAAGCTAGCATAAATAATTGATGCTAAGTACAAATTCCAAGATGACAGATATACTGTATAAGTGGAGCGAGACGCAAATTTAGCGATTTGTCCTTAAAAATTGGTATTTTATTCTTAGTGAGAAGTAATTTTAGCGATATTCAATTTTAGCAATCTTAGCACCCTCGCTAATAAAGCTAAAATTAAATCCTCGCTGAAAATTCTGCTTTCCTAGTGGCTTTAGCTGAGCTATCTATTGAGGAGTCTCGGAGCTAGATATTTAGGGGCTAGCATAGCCAGTATGAACTAGGTTTAGAATCTTTGATCTTTAACACAGTCCAGATATTCCTCAGTGTGTAGTTATATACCAAGAGACTGATCTAAACTCTTGTCTTGATCAACAATTTGTTTTATTTTTGGAATGTTAGTCTGACATTTTGTGAGGAACTAGGTTTAGAATCTTAAATCGTTTCAGCACTTGTAGGTATCAAAATATTTTTTTTTTCTCTTTACATTAATGTAAAGTGTGACAGAGTTGTAGCATCATTTATTATGCATAAGAAGAGCAGAAAGAAGATTAATATAAATCTACCTTTTTAAATCCCAGCTGGATGGCAGACATGAATGATTCCAGGGCCACGGTCCTTCCTGTGACGTGGACTATATTATGTGTCCGTGGAAATTAATAGGTCAAATTGTGTAGACTTATAAATTTACCTCTGAATTCTGGCATTAAGAACAAGTGCTATGATACTACTAAATTTTCACCTTTTAACAGCAGCCTTGAAAAAAAAGATAATAGGTATTTAAGATGCAGGTATACGGAAAGTTTAATTGGTGTTATTAGTGTGATAGATTGAATTTTAATGACCTCTTGATCTTTTTTCATAGGAATTCCATATCAAAGTAGGAAATTCTGCTCAAATATGCAAATGACAGAGATAATTTTTATACAAGTAATATATATGAAAATATACAATTGGCATTCCCCACCAGTCTAGCGTTTGCAATCATGATTTACTGAATCTTTATATGTATTCACACAAAAAATTTTGATTTATTGTTTGTTTCCAAGAAGAGATTATCTGCATGTCTTTCATAAATACCTAACGCAGAACACCTAACGCAGAACTATATTGTCCAAGTAGTCTGGGTCAAGAGCCACAACTCTAGCTGTGTCAAAACTGTCCAGTTTTTTCAAAAAAAGGGGGAGGAAGAGAAGAAAAAAAGGAAGTGAATTTGGGGAAATAACTATGAATGTTTACAGGAGATATCAATCAGAATACAGTGGCTAAATTTGTAGTGCAACATATGCTTGATTATTTTTGGTCTAGAAAAAAAAGATGAGGATATTTTTAGGGAAATCATATTGAGTTACGAAGGCTCTCCCTTTCTTTCTTTTTTATTTGAATTTTTATTTCGAATTTAGATGGTGCAGGAGTGCTTGTGTAATTTTATTGATTTTGTAGAAATGCTTTATGCATCAGTCTGCACACATGAAGCAGAGCCTAGCAAATGGAATTTTAAATAGGTAATTTCAATATTTCCATAAAAATTAAAGGCGGGCTGGGATCTGTCAGTGATTTTGATGCATTATTACTGCCATCATGAGTCAATCTCTATGGTACTACAAAGGTAGGGAAAGCTCTTATCGTAATTTGACTTTTTTTCTTTTTGGTAGAAGAGTGTAAGTTTGCATGTTGCAGGAATGCAGTGGCACTTGTGCTGTGCTGAAATGTGTGCTCCTGATAAAGTGTAACTTTTTTTTTAGGCTAAATTTGAATATTCATCATTTTATTGGGTTTTAGTTGTTTGCATTGGAAAGAGTTCTGAATTTTTTTTTTAAAAAATCAATTTTGTGATAATTTCCAGACATTTGGATAGATGTTTTACATAATATATAGAACTACAAATGCTGCAGAAAAATGTATACATGAATATTGAAATTCGTAGTGCTAAAACTTTTGTTTAAGTGGAATTATATATATACACTGTAGTTATTGATGTTGAGTAAAATACTTAGGTACTAAGTTTAAATCTGTTTAAATAGTAATAAGTAAGCAATTTTCAATTGGTATAGTCACATATGAACAACTACTGCAATGAGAAGCAAATTAAAACTCAGCAACTGAAGAAGTGACTTCATGACGTGTAAATTAAATTGCTTCATGATTTGATAATTAAGTCAGCTTTACAATTTAAAAAAAAATTTTTTTTAAAAATATTAAAGCCTGAATTAAGTGTTAAGTATGAAAAGTGACAACTTTTTGCACATTTTTGTTTTACATGAATAACAATACCGGTAGAACCTGCACCGCTGTGATAATGATGAACTTCCAAATACATAGAAAGAACATAGGTCTAGAATTTTCCTGAGTGTTGGCTAAAATCAATTTAATCTCAGTTATTGGTAGAAAATGTCTTTAATACTAAAAATAACAAACACAATTTCTAAATTAGATAAAATTGAAACATATAAAATATGTTGCTAAATGTTTTTAAAATTTGATGATAGGCACATGTACAAATGAGAGTATAATTTTAAAGTGGACTGGAATGCATTGGCTGATACATACAAATACATTATATCTGATTTAATTTTTAATCAGAGGTAAATGCCATGATTTTTATCCCTTGGTTCTGTTTGTAAAATTTCCTTATCTAACATAGAAGAATTGTAAAGAAGAACTTGAGTACAATTGGAACTACCGGTAGATACCTTAATTAATTAAAATTAGTAATGAGGTCAATTATCATTAAATGTTTATTTCTCCATAAAATGTTTAAATTGCATCAACATTTGTTTTCATTATTCTTTTTAAGCAAATTAATCAAATTTTATCTTTGTCAGATAGTACGTCAAAGATATAAAACTTTTTAAGAACTTGTTTCTGTAATACATCTTTAACAGATGTGAGGATTCTTTTTTAATTACCTCTCTCAGATGTGAGTTGTCAGTTGCTCTGATGTCAGTAAAAAAAATATTGATAGTGAATTTTAACACTTCATACTCATACTGATAAAATTTACAAACTGTAATTTTTTTTCACTCCATGCACAATAGAGTGATGACAATTTTTTTTTTCACTACATGCACAAGAAAGTAAATGCTACATATGGTAATATTTTTTTCCCAATGCATTAAAAAGTAATGGCTTATTAATTAAGGCATTTTTTTTTCATCCCATGCACTAGAAAGTAATGAAACTTTTTTTTCACTTAGAAAATTGTGAACTTGTATGCAATTAAAAGTAATAATGACGTTGAATATTTTCTTCATCTTAAATACTGAATTTTTTTTCACCCCATGCATGATAAAATATTGAACATGTAAATTTTTTTCACCCCATGGATGCGCTGGAAAATAAGGCATTAATAACTGGGTATACCCTAGCTTTTTCTAGCTGATCGGTGATATTTGCTATAACTATGCTTTACTGTGTATCACTTTTACGGTAATGCTGCTTCAGGAACTCCAGATAAAATCTTTGCCTCAGTTGTACCACTATGCACTGAGAAGAGTGTGAAGGGAAAAAAAAAAAAAAAAAAAAAAAGTACTCGACACTAGTTTATAAATATTTTATTGCTTGTATATCTAACCATATTAAATTGCTAATTAACAACTTCATAATAGTAACTTAAAATTCATTAAATTTGTTTGAATTAGAAAACAATGCAATAAATAATTTCAGTTACAGCTTTATACCACTACATTCTTCCATTGATAGAAATAAAAACAATTTGCACAGAGTCAGTTCTCACAGAAAGGTAGTGCAGTACAAGGCTCAGTGTATCGACACACAAATGTTGATACGAGAACAACAATTACTACTCCGACTTCAGAACGTCAAAGACAAGTTCTCCTAGTACGTACAACTCACACTCTGTGATGACGCTCAATAAAATTAAACATTTCTCCGAGTATCAGGTGACCTTGGAATTAAACATGGATTTCTAATGTTTCATTTTATAGTTCACACCTGAGTGATGTTTTATAAGATGAAAAGTTTTGATATCTGGTGTTTGCAAGTGACTGAATTCTACTATGATCTAGTCTGGTTTTATGTACTCTGTTTATCTCTATGAATAAATGATCCTGTCTGGGAAATGTCATGTTTTATTCACATTATGATGTCGGGTATTATTGCTATTACAACATAAGCCTCTTTTCATCTTGGCTGATGGCAATTTTGTAAGGATCAAAAAAGAGGTGTGAAATACAAAAAAATAAATAAATAAATTTTTTTTTTAAAGGTTTCAAAAGGGTATCATAGCACTTGATTGAAGCATCATTATATGCTTTTTGGGTTTTTTTTGCTCATGAATTATCTAAATGACCTGCTTTGAATTCACTTTTAGCCAATAAGCTATGTCTGTCTTTTTTTACAGCACATGATCAGAAATCAAATGAGAGACAAAAAACTCCTTACACGAGTTATTTGATGTATTGATATTGTAATATTTGATTACTGTGGAATCATCATGGTTTGTAGGGGACCAATGTTCTTGGATTTCGTGGGTCACCCTTAACCACGAATTTACATCCCAATTAACGAACAAATATTTTATCAACATAATTATTCATTGAATTGTCTGTATATACAAGTTACCCACAAAATTATGTCCCCAAGAACCAACAAAATTTTGCTTGCCCACAAACATTGACCCCCCATGAATATAAAATGATTCCACAGTGTCATGGAGTTTTATAAAAAATATGGACCTTTTGTAAAATTCAGACAGTATAAATTACAATGATACTATATGATAAACCCCCCCCCCCCAATTTTAGATACCTAGCAAACACATGTCCATCAATTTTTTTTTTAATTCCAATTGTATACATTTTTTCTGAATTTTTTTTTCTCGCACAGAGAAGTCTTGCTGATAGTGGTTTACAAGTCGTACTTCCTCCTGTTTGACTTTCAGTGTAATTTTATTTTCAGATTTGTTCAAGTGGAAGCATGCCAACCCCCATGTCTCTGGGGATTATGGTGAGTACATACAATGATTACAGCCCTTGTTAAATATTACAGCCCCATTTGGTACACATTACAAATGAGGTAGTCTCGTGTGAATGACAATCAGCCTTTATTGTATGTGAACAAGTCATTGAACCTCCAGGCTGATGATTGCTGTATTTTTTTTTTTTAATTTGTTACAACTTTTCATTTTATCACTTTATTGTAAAATGTTACACTGTCATCTAAATTCCCTTGTGCTGGAAGCCATAAAATATGATTCAGGCACTGATTTATTTTGGATCACACAATGACCTTTTGTTTTTTTCTCCTTTTTTTTGTTCCTTTGGGGGGGGGGGGGGATTTTGGTATTTTCACCTCAGAATACAACTATAATCATTGTAAATTCCATAATACAAAAAATTGGGAACTTCTGTATTTTATGCGAGAAAAAATATGTAGAAAAATTTTAGAACACTGAACTTGATGGATAAATTTTCTTAGGCGACCTATGTCTGCCATGTATATCAGTGTCCAGCATATATCCCTAACCTAACCCCCCCCCCCCCCCCCCCACCCACCCACCCCCAATTTCACTACACTACCATTTAAGTTCTTTTTTTTTTTTTTCTTTTTTTTTTGGTTATCTTTGATATTGAGAACAATACTATATACAGGGAAAATTTCACCCCCATTTTATTTTCACCCCTTTTGCCCTACTCACAGGTTGATAAATGTAAAATGGGGAGAATTCAAAGAACACAGTATAATTTATTAAACAGAACTGTGACTGGGCAAATTTAAATTGGGGCAAAATTGTTTGCAAGTGTGAAAGGGTGAAAATAACCCTGTATACAGTCTATCGGTTCTTCCTAGTGAGAAAATAATTAAGCATTTCCATATTGTATGGATGAATTTAATGTTTTATAATTTAATTCTGGTTGTAATGCTGTATTTGATTGGATAAAAAATTTACTTTATATCGTATAAAATGGGTTGTCTACGTCACAATGACTTGCGTCAAAATCATATCGATCTGCTTGACGTTACATTCAAATTTTGTACAAATTAAAGTCATTTTTTAAGGACAATCATCTTTTTTCTTACACCAAATGAATAATGAAAATTAAATTATAAGGAATGAATTTAATAGCAACCCAGTTTATACCGTATAAAATGGGTAGCTATTAAATTCATTCCTTAATTCTAATTATCGCCCCCAGGGGCACAGGGCCAAAATTTAGGGGAAAGGAGTTTATATAGAAATATATTTAAATGGTCTATAAAGTTGAAGTAAGCTTCAGTATGCAGTTATTTTAAATTATTTAAATCAAGGAGTTTAATGTGGTGATCCCAATGTTCATACTCAGATGAGCATTGTGGCCAAAGCACCTCTCGTATCATGTTTAGTAAATTACAAGTTGAGGCTGTTTACTAGACAGAGAATTAATGCTTTAAAATTTAATTTAATCCCTCATCATGAATATGGCTAGGGTATGTAGAGTTTGTCATGTCCGTCTCCGTCCTCCGATCTGTCCTTCCATTGCGCTTTGCTTTTAGCTCAGTTCAAAGCTCAGTTTCAAAGAAACTATTCAAGATATTTTTATCAAACTTCATATGCTGATCAGATACATATTGATGACAGCTGTCCAAATGTATCAACATTTTTTTTACCTTGACCTCTTTTTTCTGAAATTAGTGTTTAGCTCAGTTTTTAAGAAACCATTCAAGATAGTGTAATCAAACTTCATATGCTGATACATACTGATGTAAGTTATTCAACTGCATCAACATTTTGACCTTGATATCCTTTGACCTTGACCTCACTTTTTCTTAAATTAGCATTTAGCTCAGTTTTAAATTAATCATTCAAGATATTTTTATCTAACTTATTATGCTAATACATATTAATGAAAGCTATTCAACTGCATCAGAGACCTTTGAGTGAGAAATTATCATCTATATCCAGTTTTTTTTTTTTACATTTCAATTTCAATTTTAAAGAAACTATTCAAGATATTCTCATTAAACTTAATACACTAATACAAATTTTCATGTTGCATTACTAGTATACCTTTTTTGGGGCATTCATGTCCTATGGACATATTTCTAGTTCTGTGAACATTCTGTTTTATTAAAATTATATTATAAGATGTTTTCAAAATGATGTCCATTTAAAATTCTTCATTTGAACTATTTTATATTTACTGATGCCAACTGTGCTATGCAGAGTTTAAAAAAAGTACTTTGATTTGATTTACATTTTTTCGATCTCTCTTTTAAATAGGAATAACATTATATTTTAATGTACATTACATTTAAATGTTAAACTCTCTTCATATTTCACTGAGTAAGAATTTAAATTTAAAAAATAAACCCCTTGTGTAGAAATAATCAGGAGAGTGCCATGGTACCTGGATTTTAATTCAAACAGGATGTAAAAGTACTCATTCTTAGTTAGCTGAACTTGTTTCTGCAAAGTGTAATACAGTTTAACTTTTTAATGCACCATTTATTACATCTTAACTTGTTACTGCATAGTGAAATAAGGCTAAACTTGTTTATTCTATACATTGTAAGTGTGTTAACTTGTAACTGCAGCAAGTTGTATAGATTAACCAGGACATGGTCCTCATGGCGATCGCACGGCGTCCATAAAAAATGCAAAACGCCGAGGTGAGTGCAGTAGAGTCTCCTACAGTGCCATGACAATGCGACGAGATCTCCACTGAATGCGGTAGGGTGGCATAGGGTCTCCTAGAACGCTAGGGGACGGCGCACACTTTGGGCATGCACAAAGTATGCGCCGTGTGATCGTGTTCTGATAAGAACGCAGTAGAAATGTAGTATGATCACCATAGCAGCGCGGTGAGATTTCCAACAATGCAGTAGGAGCTCCGTACGCACACCGTGAAGACACACATGATCGTAGCATGAACGCAGTGATAGGAGACTGCGCTTCCACGGAGACCTCGCAGAGTCCTTGGAGATGTCACTGCATTTCTATCGTGCTTTTACGGCACTTCTAATGAGATTAATCATCTTGTGATTTTTTTTACTGCAATTACACAGCAACAACAAGGAGTTGTCACTGTGATCTTTGCGCTCCTTTGGCATTTCTACCGCGTCTGTTGGCGATCACAATACGCTTTCATGGCGTTGTTAGAGCATTGTCAGTCAGCTCACAAAACAAGAGCAATGGCCTCATATTTGATCAGCAATAATTCTAACGTATTTGTTGCACTCCTGACCAGGAGCATGGGAGTAGAATTGGGAAGTAAAAATTATACCAGAACTTGTTCTGTTGTTTCATTGGAGTTGCGGTGGAATTTCTTAAATTTTATGACAACTTTTCAGTGTGTTTAGTTTTTTACATTCCTAATAAAATCAAAGAAAAAATAAAATCACATCTGAATTGATATAAGTGAAAAAAAAGTGTTTTAATAATAAAACTATCAATAATTTAGTACTTAAGTATTCAAATAGATCATTTTTAATTAAAGAATATTTCTTGGCATAAGTAGAAGTCTTTCCATCATGTAACTTGAATCTTCAAAAAAAAAAATGTTACACTCCTTCTGAATATATATCCATGGTGAAGAACGCATTGTGAACGTATTGTGGATGCAGCCAGCGCAGTGAGAATGCCATGAACGTGAGGTGACAACTCCTAACACGCCGTGAAAGCTCCGCGGAAGCCGGTCAATTGCAAAGAGATCTCCCTTGGAATGCAGTTGCACACCGTGAAAATGCCGTAGAAACGTGTGGGTCGCTGTAGGAACACCATGACATCTTCACATTGTGAAAATTTTACAGAAATTTGTGCATTTTCCCTGTGATTCCACTGCAATTTTAAAAATTTAACAATGCCATAATAATTCCATGTGGACGCAGCTTGGCCCTTACTGCACAGTGTAATGCAGTTGAGCTTGTTACTGCACAATCTTATACAGCTGACCTTACTACATCATGTAATACAGCTGAACTTGTTACTGCACAATGTAATACAGCTTAACTTGTTACTGCACCATGTAATACAGTTGAACTTGTTACTGCACAATGTAATACAGCTGAGCTTGTTACTGCACAATGTAATACAGCTGAACTTGTTACTACACCATGTAATACGGCTTAACCTTTTACTACACAATGTAATACAGCTGAACTTGTTACTACACCATGTAATATGGCTTAACCTTTTACTACACAATGTAATACAGCTTAACTTGTTACTGCACCATGTAAATATGGCTTAACCTTTTACTACACAATGTAATACAGCTTAACTTGTTACTGCACCATGTAATATGGCTTAACCTTTTACTACACAATGTAATACAGCTTAACTTGTTAAGTACTGCACAATGTAATACAGCTGTTCTTGTTTCAATAAAATGCAATATAGCTTAAGTTGTTACTGCAAAATGTTAGTATACACTTATTCTATTACTGCACCATGTAATATAGCGTATATTTTTTATTCTTACAGTAACCCGATCGGAAGAATCTCATCAAAGTGACAGGCGTGTTTGATTTAATGATCCTTGCCTGTCAAAGAGACAAGATATTGTTCCTAAGAACAAGTTACTGTTATAAATAAATTCATTATGTACCCCTCTATTATTAGCTGAACATAATTTAAAAAAAAACAAACAAACATTTTGGATAAATTATCCGACTTTATCTATTAAAACACTTTTTCAAAGAGCATTTTTGATGTCCTACATCATCCGTTTCAGAGAGGGATGATATGGATTTAAAAACCACAGTGTGGTGATCCAGAAAATCAGATCACACCATCACGTGATTGTATGAAATCAACAGTAAAATTGAGTGATACACAGTTGAGTTTATAATAAAACCTATTACTGCACCATGTAATACACTTAATCTGTTTCTACATCATGAAATATTCATGAGTACAAAAATAAATATAAAAAATCGGAGAAAAAATATATATATAGAAAATAAATGTTTTTTTTAAAAATGATGACTGATGATAATTATATATGTAATAAATATTAAATGAATAG